ACTTAGCAGAATGGCTGTAAGGATTAACTGAGATATTATGGAAAGACCTGAGCTGTGGTAGGTACTGATGTTTGTTAACATTCAGATTACAGGTTGATTTTTTAAAGATAATAAATACACATGGATCATCTACTGTATATCGGGCAGTTGCTGGATGCTTTTTCATCCACACATTTGTCTGTTTCTCACTGCAGCCTTGTGAGGTAAGTATTACAATCATCCTTTTATAAAGCAGGGATCCCCAATTCAGTGAGTCACCTGACAAATAAAGAGTTGGGATTTGAACCTGAGTCTTCCAACTGCAAGCCTTTCCTGGCAGCCCTGGGAGATAGACTCTCCAGGGCCCTTCACAGCTCAGCCCCATGTCACTACTTGTTATTCCCAAACAGCCACGTAGTTTCCTGCTTCCACCTTTGGACATGTTGTTCCTTCTGCCCGGAATGCCTTTCCCACGTTCTTGGTGACTACCCAGTGAAGTTCTACTTACTTTTCAAGGCTCTTATCTAATGAAATCTCTTCTCCGAAATTTTCTTGATTCTCACCTGAAGAATGATGCCCTCAGTCACTTTTGATCATTTAAAACCATAGTTATGTTGGAGCAAGCAGGACTGAAGCCATGTTGGGACCTAAAACCACGTGGCCTAAAAGATTTTTTTTTTTTTGTCTTTTTCCGTGTCCGGCAACGGATCGCAACCCCCAGGGTCGCCCCCGTACCGGCCCGGGGGCCGGCAACGGGATTGCAACCCTCGGTGTTGCTCCTGCGCCTCGCTCAGCCAGTGAGCGGGAACCGGTCTGTATGTGGGATCCGAACCCTCGGACGGGAGCGCCGCCACGCTTCCCAAGCGGCGCACCATCCAGTGCGCCACCGGGCCGGCCCCACCCTAAAAGATTTTTAACAGACAGTTTTTTCTTGGCATGTATTTCTCTGAGTTCCCTCTTTTCCCATAGTTATTTGATATTTTGAACCTTGGTTATGAGGCAAGAGGACATTATTTGCATGA